ACTCGCGCTGATGACACACTCCACGGGTGAGTCCCGTCTGCGCTCGGCTTCTTGGTGGCTTGCTGGAGTGACAGGAACGATGGCAGAAAGCATGTGTGAAGTTAGATTTTATGATCAAATACGTTCTGTCGGTTTTGTAAGTGATGTGTATTGTAGCCACTAAAATGTGCGTCACCTTAATGTCTTGAAGCTTTTTTTAATAGAATGTACAGCCTTAATTTTCATTTGAAATCCGTATTTATTATGAACATGGTGTGCTTGTATGCCTGTGTGAAATGTAGTTTTCTCCTCTTTTGGTGTCAGCTGGTTTGTTCATCCCAAGGAGATAGAAACGCTGTTGCCATTTGATATTTCTGAGGACAGGAAGAGGGAATTTTTTTTTTTTTTTTTAAAGCTCAGTGCTTTTCTTGCAGTAGGAGATAGTGACAGTGAGTTCCTAAGAAAGAGGGACTGTTGTATAATGAGACGCGTTATCCGAAACAGGAAACTTGAAAAACATGCAGGTCCTAATTTATGAAGCCAAGATCTCAGAAGGCCTAGGCAGGCCTTAGAAGGCATGAATGGGGTCGGCCCGGTGGTTCGCGCTTGTAATCCTAGCGTTCTGGGGAAGCCAGGGTGGGAGGATCGCTTGAGGCCAGGAGTTCAAGAATGCGTAAAGAGTGCCTGCTTTTCTTTTTCATTGTAGACATTTGAAAGGCTTCATGGAATTAAATTGAAATTCTTTAGATAAAGTTGGCACTAAGTTAAAAATAATTTAGTGTCAGAGATTCTACTTTCAAAAATTTGAGTCCAGAATGAATCTTTAAAAATTTTGAATCCAGATTTGCAATTAATTTTTTCTCCAGAAAAACAGCTCTACAGAATTTAATTTTTGAGGTAATGTGCCCCTGCAGTCTCAGCTACTTGGGAGGCTGAGACAAGAGGAGTGCTTGATGGTTGAGGCCAGGAGTTTGAGGCCGCAGTGTGCTACGATCGTGCCTGTGAATAGCCACTGCACTCCAGCCTGGGCAACACAGGGAGACTCTGTTTCTAAAAAGAAATTTTTTTTTCAATTAAAACATTTTAATTTTTCTTTTTCTTTCATGTTCTGTTAGTGCATGTTCTTTAATGACATGCTGGAAGTTCATCCACGCAGTGAAGTCGTTAGTGGAAGCTGAGGAGATATGCTACAGCAGAGAGGAGCGTTTTAGGGATAGAGGTGATGTTGACTGATGTTGAAGGGGGAACACGTATTTCCTTTCCTGTTTTGAGGGGGAGCTTGGTTTGGATGTTCAACCATTGATATGTAGCACCTTCTTTTTTTGTTACTGTAACACAAGATAAAAACAGAAACTTATTTTTAACCACTAACAGATCTTACATGGTGTATGACGAAAATAATATTCAGTTTCTCAAGTGGTAGTCTGGAAATAGT